GGGAGGAGGAGGAGGAGGAGGATGAGGAGGAGGAGGAGGAGGAGGAGGAAAAGGAGAAGGAGGAGGAGGAGGAGGAAGAGGAGGAGGAGGAGGAGGAGGAGGAGGATGACGAGGAGGAGGAGGAGGAGGCGGGATCTTGAACTGAGTGCTCCGAGGTTGGTACGTACAGACCTACCAACAGGTGGCAGGAGACAGCACCCACAGGTGCAAACCGGGGCCTCTGACAAGTCTTCCTTGTCCCCCATCGTGGCTCTTCTCCTCGTACTTCTGATTCCTCCTCCCATTCCTTGTCCTACTCCCCCATAGCCGTTTCAGCTGCACTTGCGCCTCGGCGGCCGCGCGGGCGCACGTGCGCCCTCTCCTCCCCGTCCTTCCCCTCCCCCCCTGCGCTGCATGGTCGCCCTTTCTCGGCTGGGGTGGCTGCTCCTTGAGCTTGGGCGCGGTCGGCAGCCTCACATGGGCCTCTCCGCGCACGTCGGCAAGGTGGCCGTCAAGCTGCGCCAGGCGCCCGTGTGGAATACTAGCATGTGCAACGGCTTCCTGCTGCCCTGGCTCACGCACATGATGCAGGAGATACCCACCCTGGTTGCGGTTGACCATGGTCACAAGAATTATGATGGCTATTCTTTTGTCTCGATCGTGTTGAAGCCAGCACCTGGTGGACATGAAAGTGCGGATGCTCCTGTTCCTGGCGGAGTGGATCCACCTGGCGACGGTGCCGACGGCCATGATGACAGACGTGATGTGCTTCCACGTGGTCCTGGACGCCGTCCGCCCCCTGGCCGTCCTGCTGACCCTTGGAGTGGTGGCCACGATCCTTGGGCAGCTGCTCTTCCTGCTTCTGGTGGAGATGTTCCTGGTCCTGGAGTTCGCGCGCCTGGAGCCGGCCATGTTGTCCATTCTGGTCGAGTCGATCTACCTACTGGCGTCGTGCCTCTGGGAGCCCATGCTGATGAAGATGAGCCTTCTGCTGGAGTCGCTTGTCCTGGCCTTCCTGATGGGCGGAGTCGCGAAGAAGGAGTCGCTCCTCGGCTGCCCGCTGCGGCGCGCAGCTTGGTCGGCCCTTCCGGCTTCAGTCTCTCAGACCTCGCCGCAATCTCCGCCATGTTGGACGAGAAGTTTTCAGCGTTAAACGATGCATCCCCTCATTGCGATCCTCATGCTGCTGGAGTGGGCCCTCCTGATCCTCATCCTCGTGTCGGCCTGCATGCGGGGGGCGATGTTCCTGGCCATCGTGACGCGGGGGCTGCCCGTCCTCGCCACCCTGAAGGAGATGGCCTTCCTGCTGGGGACGGTCCTCTGGACAATCCTCCTGATAGAGATCGCTCTCCTGGCCGTCCTGCTCGCCTACATGACGCTGCAGACCTCGAAACACTCGCTGTCAGGATCTCGGCCAAGACGATGTCCGCAGCCAATTCCTCGCAAGGCAAGGGCCTCATCGTGAAGAACCCCTGCCAGGTTGACGAGGGTCCCTTGAGCGTCGCCTCCGCCGCTTCCTCCTCCTACCCCGCCGCCTTCCGAGGAGTTGACGAAGACACATCGGAAGTGGGCGCTCCTCGCCCTACTCCCCCATCGCGCCGAACGCGAGCACGGGGAAGAAGAAAAAGAAAAGGTGGAGGAGGAGGAGGAGGAGGAGGAGGAGGATGAGGACGACGACGGCGACGATGGTGGCAGTGGCAGCGATGACGACGACGGCGGCGATGTTCACAGCGTTGACTACGACGACTAGCCTCAACGCAAAACGTCCAGCCAGACCCTGGAACGGCGGCGGCGGCGGCGACGACGACGACGTAGGCTAGGGCGTCGAGGGCGCGGATCCCGCGGCGCGGGAGCGGCGGCGGCGGCGCGAAGGCCTGACCGTCTGCTGCGTGGACTTCTCGGGCTCCGGGCTCTCGGAGGGTGAGTACATCTCGCTGGGCCACTGGGAGGAGCGACCGTCGTCGTCGCCGCCGCCGCAGCCGTCGTCGCAGTGGACGTCGTCGTCGTCGTCGTCGTCGTCGTCGTCGTCGTCGTCGTCGTCGTCGTCGTCGGCGCAGTGGCCGTCGTCGTCGTCGTCGCCGTCGTCCGTCGTCGTTGTCCTCGTCCTCTTCCTCCTCATCCTCCTCGTCATTATCCCTCCCTTTCCTGCTTCTTCTCTTCTTCCTCCTCCTCATCCTCCTCCTCCTCCTCCTTCTCCTCCTCCCTGGCGGGCTCGAGGTCCCCCGCGCGCCAGAGAGGGAAGAGGAGGAGGAGGAGGAGGAGGTGGAGGAGGAGGAGGAAGAGGAGGAGGATGAGCAGGAGGAGGAGGATGAGGAGGGGGAGGAGGAGGAGGAGGAGGAGGAGGAGGAGGAGGAGGAGGAGGAGGAGAATGAGGAGGAGGAGGGGGAGGAGGAGAGAATAAGACCGATTACAACCCTTTCGGTTCAGAAACTACTTCGGTCTGGTTACAACCAGTGGAGACGGACTGATCGCAACCTGAAGGATTCCTATACAAATATTTGTGGAGAGCACTGGATTGCGACCGATCCAAGAGCTTCTGATGAGCTTCTGCAAAGCTTCAGCAAAGCTTCCGAAGAGCTTCTAAAGAGCTTCCGCAGAGCTGAAGAGCTTCTGAAGAGCTTCTGCATTTCTACAGAGCTTCTGAAGAGCTTCTGAAGACCTTCAGCAGAGCTTCTGCGGAGCTTCCGCAGAGCTCCTGGAGAGCTTCTGCACAACTTCCAAAGAGCCTCCGAAGAGCTGATGAGCTTCTGCAGAACTCTCAGCGAGGCCTCCGAGAGGCCTCAGCGAGGCCTTTCAGAGGCTTCTCTGAGGCCTTCCAGAGGCTTTTCTGAGGCATCAGAGACGCTTCTCTGAGAGGCTTCTCTGGGGCCTCTGAGAGGCTTCTCTGGGAGGCTTCTCTGAGACCTCTGGGAGGCTTCTCTAAGAGGCTGCTCTGAGGCTTGTGAGAGGCCGAGGCCTCTGCGAGGACTCGGCGAGGCTTCTGAAAGCCTTCTCTGGGGCCTCAGCGAGGCTTCTGAGCTTGGCATCGCTCGGACGTGTGCGTTTTTCCTTCGGCGAGGACCATCGAGGGGCATCCTTGATCATTTGGCGAAACAACCACGCACGAAACCAACAAACAACACAGGAAATGGACGTCCAAGCGATGGCCAGTGAGAGGCTTCCCAGAGGCGTCTGAGAGACTTTCGAGAAGGCTTATTGTGAGCTCTATTGGGCGCTCTATTTGGAGCTCCATTGGGCGCTCTATTAGCGCTCTATTCGGAGCTCCATTGCGCGCTCTATCACGAGCTCTATTGCGCGCTCTAGTCGGAGCTCTATTGGTGCGTTTCGTTCGGAGGTCAATTGGGCGTTTTATTTGGCGCTCTATTGGGCGCTCTATTCGGAGCTCTTTAGGGCGCTATATCCGGTCCTCTTAGAGATTCCAGAATATTCCTGGAGATTAGAAATGCCCTGGTAGGAAATCTTAAGGTTCCCGAAGAGACCCTCTTAGGATTGGGGCAAAATTCTCAGACGAATCACAATGGAATCGTATACGAATCACATCGGAATCGTATACGCATCACATTGGAATCGTATACGCATCATACAGGAACCGTGTACGAACCACATAGGAATCGTATACGGATGATGGCCACGTTCGAGCTCAAAAACATGTGTTTATTTGAGATCATGATCGGCCGTCGGTGATCGGACTGATCGCAGCCACTTTTTCAGATTCTCACTGGCCGGCTTAAGGGAGTTCAGTGCACCCAGAAGCGTTCTTATGATCTCTCTCTTAATCGAAACCTTATTGAGGCGACCCATAATCATCGCAACCACTCCAGACCGATCGCGACTGGTTGTGATCAGTCCGAAGTGGTCGACGATCGGTCCGAAGTGGTTGCGATCGGTCTCCATCCCGGGAGGAGGAGGAGGAGGAGGAGTAGATTGATGTCTGGTTGCATGTAGATCTCGACTTCATCCTTGGCCGCGGCCTTGTGCGCCGCGCTGCCGGCGAAGGTGCCGCTGTCGAGCTCGACGGTCTGCCTCATGCCCCCAAGACGCCTGGCAGGCTGGGACTGGATGCCGTACCCACCGCGGGGATATTCGGCACCTCCACGGGGCTGGCTGGCACGAGCAGGGATCTTCGGGATCTTCCTGCCACGCCCGCTGTAGAGTCTATGGCCGATTCCACGCGCCAGGCTGATCCTGAGCAGGCTGCAGCCTGGCAGGCGATGCGTGGTCGCTGCATCTGAGGCTTCCCCGCATTGAAGGGGAGCCGACTTGCCTGTGTGCCGCGGCAGCCAGGCAAAGGATGCGGAAGGAACGGAGATCGCGAAGAGGGGGTTGCGCGCCCAACCTGGCATTGTTTGGCCGCCTTTGCGTGAGGATGGAAGTTCAGGATAGGCTTCACCCCACCCTTGAGCCAAAATAGCTTCGTGGGGAGGCAGAGGGAGGAGGAGGGGGGAGGCAAATAAAGGAGAAGGAGGAGGAGGAGGAGGAGGAGGAGACAGAGGAGGAGGAGGAGGAGGAGGAGGAGTGTTAAGCGCAAGAGGGGGAGGCGGATGAGGGGCGAGGTCGGTCAGTCGGACTCGGCATTGCAGCAGCTTGCGCGCTGTCTTGCTGAAGGCTTTCAACCCTAGAGCGTGTTTCTGCCATCACCCTCCCCAGCGAAGGGGGGCTCAGCCGTGAGTCCCAGGCGGCCCAACGCACAGAAGCGAGAAGGCGGCGGACGGCGCGAAGCGCTAGAAACGATGGTGCGGAAGATCAGGGAAATATGCAGTCGGCCTGGGGAGGATGTAAAACAGACGGCCTCAGGAGGGCAGGTGCCAGCTGGCCTGGAGGAGCCGATCGAAGCCATCGAGAAGAACAGCTCGACCACATGAGTGCCAAGACATCTCCACAGCAAGACGTCCAGAATTACTGACAGTTTGCGCACTGCGGGCTCCTCCTGAGCATGCGACATCAGGCTCACTAGTTCAAGGAGTCGCTCGGCGTGACGGGCGGCTCGCGCCAGCGCCGGCTGCCCCGCCAGGGTGTGACGG